CACTCTGCTAACAGTACCATGCTGCTAACAGGACCATCCTGCTAACAGAACCACACTGCTAACAGAACCACTCTGCTAACAGTATCATGCTGCTAACAGGACCATCCTGCTAACAGAACCACACTGCTAACAGAACCACTCTGCTAACAGGACCATCCTGCTAACAGAACCACACTGCTAACAGTACCATGCTGATAATGAGACCATGTTGCTAAGAGAACATCACTGCCAACAGAACCACTCTGTTAACAGTACCATCCAGCTAACAGAACCACTCTGCTAACAGTACCATGCTGCTAATGAGACCATGTTGCTAAGAGAACATCACTGCCAACAGAACCACTCTGTTAACAGTACCATCCTGCTAACAGAACCACTCTGCTAACAGAACCACACTGCTAATATGACCATGCTGCTAACAGTAAGTGTTTTTATAACACTTTATTTTAATTGCTGTATATTGTTGTCTGTACTCTATGTTGTCCGTCTAAAGCAGGTCTTCTGTGAGGTACTTTATACTGATTCATCCTACTTGCACCGTTATATTCTACCATGTCGTTTACTACATTTCTTTTGGACCTTGTGGATGCATTTCTTTTCCACTTTTTGGTGCTTTGTTTTGTACTTTTATGGCATTCTTTGGTGTTTATTTTTAGCAAGTCGAGATGGTTCTTCTCTTCCTGAGCATTTCATTGTATTGCTGACCTTGTGTTGATCTGCATATGACAAACAAACTAAAAAAAACAAGAATGTTTTTCTATATTAGCTAAAGGCAAATATAGAAAAACAGTAATTAAATAGTAGAAGTAGTAAAAGACTAACTTCAAGTATCAAAACGCCAGTTATGCAGTTAAGCCGATATATGCAGTAGATTGGATGGCACAAACTGGAGACGTGTCAGGACCCAGGTTCTGGCACCAACCTGGGCATGAACTGCGTCATCGCTGGCCTCCTGCTCCGAGGAGTAGCTGTCGTCATCGTCCTCTGAATCATTATCCATGTCTGGGGAGCGGTCTGAGGGAAAGCAGCCACAAACATACGCTCATGTCAAAACATCCTCCAAAAAAACGCAGCTGGCATTTTTCAAACAGCGTTCTAATAAAACAGAAAAGAGCAGAGCTGGAACGTCGAAATATAAACTCTCCTGGGAGGGAGCGTGTTCCGAGTGCAGTGTAATGATCCATGCACATGTTCTTTTAGACAGTGTTCTTTAAATTACATAAAGCAAACCCCTTTAAACGCACGCTTTAAACTCATATTGTTCTTTCAGTGGGTGCTCAAAGTCAACAGGAAGAAGCCAAAGCATCCATGTTGTCTGAAGTTGTTCCAATTTTTTAAACATTTGTAGCTCACCACTAAAAATTAAAGAGCAATAATGCCTGTTTACTTGTTGGATTTTGCTCTCTTCTTTGTCAGTTTCTTGGTTTTACAATTAAGATGATAGAATTCACGTTTCTATGAGTCTGTATTACCGTAATTTCCAGACTATAAGCCGCTACTTTTTCACACGCTTTGAAAACTGTGACTTTTACAACGACGCGGCTAATTATGGATTTTTACGGACTAACAAGCTTCATGCCGCCAAAACATTTAGCCTCGTCACGCCCGGGCGCTTACATAGATGTCAAAAACACGTCTCGTGATCACGTGAAACACGTGATCCCTGGGGGCACAACAAAGCACTTGCAGCCGCTTGACGTAAGTGTGAATCGTGCATTTAAAGTGACACTCTGAGCTCAGTGGGAGGTTTGGATCACTACCGGTGAGAAATCGTTTACCACAACTGGCCGCATGCGCAGAGCAGCGTCAAAAAACTCATCGAAGGCTGGACTGCTGCGTGATGAAGACGACAGCACAAGCTCAAGTGCAAATTTGCCTCGAGACAAAAGTGACGTTGAGAGCGACGACGAAAGAGACCGAGGACGAGCGTGATGAAGTTTTTCTGAGGCTGTTCAATTATAACTCTGAAGAAGATGACTTTAGTGGTTTTAGTGCACAGGAGGAAGATGACGATAGCGATCAATGACTTGTTCTGGTAGGCTACTGTATTTTATTTTTTAATTTTTTTAACCAGTCGTGTTACAGACACTTGCTTGTTCCACTTTGGAGTAAGCTGTTGGGGGAAGAATCAGTTTTGCTGTGCATTTCCTTGACTGATGAAGCCTTCTGGATAGAAGTCGAAACGTTTCAGCACAAAAAATGAAACTGTCCAGATGACCTGACTAAAAAATGTTGGATTGTATACCTGGATTATTGAGCATGGACTTTGTTATTTCCTGTACCTATTTGTGTATGATACCGGCGGTACATGTTTAATTAAAAGTTTTAAAAGTCTTTCTGTGTAAATATCTCATGTTACCACATGTGGCTTATAGACAAGTATACAAATTTTATTTATTTACTTTTTAAGTTAGTGGGTGCGGCTTATTTTCAGGTGCGCTCAATAGTCCAGAAATTACGGTGTTACAAACTTCTGGCATTTCTTTGGTGATGAACTAATGTTCCCTTAATGCCTTCAATCCCAACATGTTAGTTATTTAATCCTTTCACAAATTAAATGATCCTTCGTTAGTTTTTGCTTTTCTTTAGTGTTTTATTTCCCTTTGCGTATGAAAGGTGCTTTATAAATAAAGTCTGATTAAATGAGTTTACAAAGTATTTCCTAAAGCACTGGATGGATTTTGTTACATGTGTACTCTGAGCTCCAACTGATCGCATGAAATCTGCTTTGCCATTAACTATTAATTCAATTCAGTTTATTTAACTAGCATCAAGTCACAACAGAAACCGTCTCAGGGCACCGAACAGAAACAATCGTATACACAAAAGTAAGTTAATAACATTACTAATAAGTAAGTAATAAGTTAATAACATCCTCCCTCTCTGTATTGTTCTACTATTCACATATTCACAAAAAAAATAAAAATAAAATAAAGTTGATAGGAAGACTGTTGAAACGACCCTTTTTTATTTGACCAATAGAATTCAGTTTTATGTTAGTTTTGGTCAAAGCTTGAAAGAGTCGCTGCAGGTGGACCGAAGAGCCACCTGTTTTAGGCAGTTAAAACAAATACTCAAAGAGAAACATGATAAATCAAAGAAACAGGTGTCAGAAATGTTGTTTTTCTGTTCAAGCAATTTAAAATCTGTCCTGCACTCGAACTTAAACAGAACTCTAAAATGGCAACATTTTGATTTCATTCTTCCCTTTATTGCCAATTTTTTTCTGCTCTTCCTAAAAAAAAAAAAAAAAAAGACATTTTATTAACTCGTAACTTGTTCTGCTGCCGGTGTACATTATGCATTATTTGATGAGAGGAATGACGATAAAAAGAAAAGACAAACTGGTTTTCTTCCCTCCCTCCCTCACCGGTTTGATATTTGCTGCATGAGCTCATCGGTTTTGTTTGAGCAGCCTTCTTAATAACATCCAGAACAACAACGGATCACAGCACAGAGTTCGAGCCGCACCACATATCCCCCCATCTTTACCCAGAATTAGAGTACAACTCTCAAATCAACATTACGGCCATAGTTGAGGAGAATAACATATCCTTGGCAATGGGACGGCCTTGGATTAACGGGGTTTATTCTATTCTCAGTTGGGAAATATGAGCCAAGTGGAAGGAGGGGAGAGAAAGGCAACAGCAGGGGTGAGACAGGGGTGTTTGGTTCTGGAGTGAAGGCTGGAATGATATGAAGGATTCAGAGCAGAGGTGCAGGTGTGTCCAACAGAGCCACGCAGGAAGGGGATGCCCACCTGAGGTTTTGATCTTGCGGCCGGCCTGTCCGCTCCCGTCCTCGTGGTCGATGGGCTGGCTGGACAGAGAGAACACGCTGATCTCCGCCACGCGCACAGGTGCCTCCTTCACGTTACTATGGAGACCCAGAATCTGGCCCCCGTCTGTTGGGTGCTGCATCACCTGAGCAGAGTTTAGAGAAGAAACCGTCTCTTTAAGCAGACTTTATTTATCCGGTCTTCAAGAACGTTTCTAATAATATCTCCCTCTGGAGAAAAAGTGACAGAAAGGTTGATGAATACTTTCCCTCATCACAGGCCTCAACATTCATTCTCCTCCATTTGAAATGTCATCATGTCTGGAACTGTTACCCAATCGAAGGATTTAGAGGCTTGATGAAGCAAAGAAACGAGTCCTGAAACAAACGTCTCCAAATAGCTGACGAGGTGCTGCCAGGAAGGGAAAATGGCAAACATGTCCGTGCTAAAGCATTTAAGTGCTGAGGGGGTGGGGTGTTTTACTTATTAATTTACTGGTAATATTTTGTTTTATTATCTATTTTATTGGGGGGGGGGACACCACTTGTCATGTAATAACATCTGCATTATATAAATTTAAACCATTTTTTAGTTTACAGAGATTTTAAACGTTTAGTTGGCCCTTTTCCATTTATAACTTTGAGCTAGCCTTCTGCTATGTTTAGCTAGTTTAGCTGCTTTTAGTGTTTAGCTAATGTTCTGCTCTTTTTAGGTTAAAGCTATCCTTTTGCTAGTTTTAATCTATAGATGGAGTTCTGGTTTTTAGGGTTTATTAAGCTTTTATTTTAAGTTTTATCTCATATTTTGCCTTTTTAGCTTGAAAATTGCTACTTTTAACTAGTTAGCCTTTTTTTATTTATAACTTTTAGCTAGTCCTCTGCTACTTTTGGCTTTCAGCTAGTGTTCTGCCCTTTTTAGGTTGCAGCTAACCTTTTGCTACTGTTGGCTTTTAGCTAGCCTGTTGCTACTTTTAGCTTTCATCTAGTGCTTTGCTGCTTCAAATCTTTTCTAGTGTTCTGCTCATTTTAAGTTATAACTAGCCTTTTGCTACTTTCAGCTAACCCTGTGCTACACCTGGCTTTCAGCTAGTGCTCTGCTTCTCTGAATGGAGCAGTTTTAGCTTCAGCAAAGTCATTCGGCGTTCAGCATTTCCTCTGCTTTTTCACAGAAAGTACCATTTCTTTAGTTTTCAGCCTTTTAGGTTTTAAAACAAGTGTTTTTTTTTTAAATAATTCAGATCAGGCTAAATGAGTAAACTCCTGCAACAATCAAATTCTATTTTCCAAGCTCTTCTTTGGTCTTCTCTTCGGTGACTGAAAATTCGCCCGTTTCTCACAATTAATAATCACCAACAAGTTTGCAGCAGCTGCGACCAAGAGAGAAACTGGATTACCGGTAATCTTTTCTTAACAAACGAACAGAAGAGAAGTGTCTCCGTTCAAAGGCATTTCTGAAGATTAAGGAGACTTCTGTCGCCTGACTGTGTTTAGAGATCCAAGGACGGATTAAATAGAACAGCTACAGTATCTGTAAGTAAATCTTCATCAGCAAAATGCAGCTTTTTCTGTCCGAGCGCCGCAATGAGTCGAGCCAATCTGCACATATCACATCAGTGAAACAGTTTATTTAAACGATGTTGAAACGGATGAGAAAGGACGAGCTTTCACTGTAATCCGTCTGGGAGGGCACTTTGAATATTTTAGTTGTTAACTAGCTGCTCAGGGAGCGGGCTCATTTCACTCCAACACTAGCAGGGTGCACTTGAATGCCTCTATCAGTGACTTCCTCCCACACAACGCTTCGATTTGGTTCAGAACGAGTTTACGCCAGATGACAATTACCCAACAGGATGCAATAACGGCCAATTTAGCTTTTTTTTTTCCAAAGCAGTATTTGGGATGTTTCTCAGCAGTGAACACTGAAAATGTGCTGCAGCTGAATGTCGTTTAAAATACAATAACAGCTTTACTCTTGTTTTCAGGTGTCAATCAACTACTGTCCTAGGGCTGAGGCTGAAAAATAACTTCGGCTGAGAACAAACGCGTCTGCAGCTGTAATTAGAAAAGGAGTGATAGCACCTGTGCTGTTCCACGATGAAGGCGACACATTAAACTAGAGAAATTTCATTCCCTGCGAAAACGCAGTGCGAGTGCTTATTGCAGAAGAACTTGCTGAAAAACAGCTAAAATTAGCTAAAAACATGCTGAAACGTAGCTGAAATGAAAGAACAAGACTAAAATGTCATAAGTAAAGAAATACCTTAATAAGGTTTAAAAAACAGAAATGAGCAAAAAATTAGGAAGTCAGCTGAAAAAAGGCTTAAATTATCATTTAAAAAACTGCTGAAAAGTAGCTGAAAAGGCAGAAAGAAGTTTAACCTAACAGAAGGAAGCAGAAAGAGCTGAAATCAACAAAAAAAAATGTGAAATTAGCAGAAAAGGCTAAAATTAGCATAAAAGCAGCTAAAGCTGAAACTAGCAAAAAAACTGAAAGGAGCACAAGCTGAATTTAGCATGAAGCTAATAAGGCTGAACGTAGCAGAAATTACCAAGAAAACCTTGAATTTCTGAAAACAGCTGAAATTAGCTAAATACATACAAAACAAAATAGTAGCTGAAAAGGTAGAAAATGCTTAAAATAGCAGAAGAAAGCCAAAAAAACATGTTTGCCCAATTAGACTGAAAAGAGCAGGAATGAGCAAAAAAGGTGGAAATTATCTGAAAAAAGCTGAAATTAGCTTTAAAAAAAAAAAAAAGCAGCTAAAAAAGCATAAAGAAGCGTAAATTACCAGAAGTGGAGAGAGCACATTTTTGCTGAAATAAGCTGAAAAAAGTTTAAACGAGTGCAAAATATGTGGAATTAGCTGAAAAAGTTAAAATTTGCACAAAAACAGCTAAATAAATAATAATAAGTTAATTATTTTAATTAATTAATATGTTGAAATTGCAAAAAACAGCTGAAACGTGCGGAAATAAGATAAAAGAAGCAGAACAAGCTGAAATTAGCAGAAAGAAGTTCGAAGAAACACAAAAAATGTTGTAGTTAGCAGAAAGAATCTGAAAGGAGCACAAAACAGCTGAAATTAGCAGAAAAATGTTTAAATTTGCACCCGGAAGCTGAAAGAAGCTGAAGCAGAACAAAATGTGAAAGGAGCAGTAAAAGGTTGTAAACACAGCTAAAGGTTTGAAGGAGGTAAAATGAGCTCAGTTCATTTTCTATGAGGAAAAGGTTAAATACTTCAAAAAGCTAAAGTTGTATCAATACCAAAAGTCACCCTTCTACTGAACAAGCTGAACGTTTTACGATTTGTTGAAATAGCACAAAAATTGTGGAACGAGAAAGATGCTGAAAAACGTATGGAAGCAAAACGGATATGCTTCATAAACATTCACACAATTAAGGTTTAAAATCCCGTCTTTTAGCTCCATCTCTTTCAAAGCAAAACAGCAAACTAATTATATCCACAGAGAAGGATTTTTATTGATCTGCATGTGCTCTGTGAAGCTAAATTTCCAACAGTCGATCATTATTGAATCGTTGACACGTGGTAAACGGTAGAACAGTAGGAAAAACAAGCCTGTTCATCGTATCGAGGGCAGGAAAACAAAAAAAGACATTTTGATGTCCTAATGGCCAAACACGCATCCTTCATAACACAATTCATCGCTGCACGACCATCTGAGAGCTGGAGAGTCGCAGTAACTCATATTTCTTCTATAGGAAAGCCAACACCCAGCTCCACGATCGTTATTTCAACAGCAGAGCGTGGCTGCGTGCACCGTTTCTAGAGAAGCGTGCATGAAGGAGCCGACAGATGGTCTGTAATTTCACACAACACCGAGTGATGAAAATGAATCACAGGAGCCCGGTACCCAAAATACAGCAGCCGCGCTATTCACCATCAGAGGAGAATGCAATCAGAACCTCGGAGCAAAATGACATTCCTCCTGAGAAACAGCTGACAGAAGCACATTAAAGGAAACGAGTGAAAGAGGCGCCGGCCCGAACCTCGGCCATGTTGATGACTCCGACAGCCAGGGTCTTGTAGCCCAGGATGGTCCGATTCTTGTAACGTTTCCGTCTCTGCAGCATGATCTGCAGCCTGTTGGCATCCCTCTTCAAGAAGTGAGGGTACTGGGGAGAAAAATGGAAAAACAAAAAACGTCTGATAAAATACAAGTTAATGTTTTTTTTTTGGTCTGTAAAAATAAGCGATAAATTAATAACTTTAGAAGCACAGCGTGAAAGACGTCGTGGGTTTGGATGTTTTCTGATGTTTGTTATTTAGACCATTTTTTTGATGGACAAAAAAAAAAAGACATTATTACATCAACAATATTTTGCACCTTCATTATGAAAGAAGGAAGAACAAGATCAAATATGGAAGGAGCGTCAGGACGGAGAAAAGCTTTGGACACTTCGGTGAGACAAGTCACAGTAAAACATCAGAGGACTCGCCTGCAGTGAGAAGGTGAGCTCCAGGTCTGTCTCCATCAGGCCACTGGGAGGGAGGACGTACTCATTAGATCTGAGGAGACGCTTTGACCCCTGCAGGACAAAAAAATGAAGAAAATGTTTGTTTTTAAAGTGCACGAGCATCAACACTAATGCTTTTATTTAGAAAGGTTAAGGAGGCAGGAGTAGAAGGCACGGATCCAAAGTTAAGGAACAAAATGATCACTGAAAAATGCACAACTGATACCTACTGTCCCACATCGTTGTGTAACGCTGTAAAACCGATGCGACGTGGATAAAAGTGATCGTATTAAACCTGCTCCACTCACAGGTCCATGTAGATTCACAGCTAAAGGTTTCCTAGAACAAAGGGCCTCTCTCCTCGCCAACTGCTGAACAGATAGATGAGTGTTTTCATAGAAACACACGAGGACGACGACAGCAGCAATGATGCTGCCAATATTTCAGAAACAAACTAGAGAAAATGAAATTTCTGCATAAACTCAGGATGAATGTGAAGTGCTGAATGGCTCAGCTGTATGTAGCAAAACCATTGCTGAAAGCTAAAAGTTACAAAACTGTCGCTAAAAACTACAATGAGAAAAACTGTAGATGAAGCTAAAATGAGCAAAAACATAGCAAATCTTAAATGTAGCTAAACCGCTGTCAAAAGCTTAATGTAGAACAACCATAGCTAAAAGCTAAATGTGGTAAATTTGTAGCTAAGAGCTAAAAAGGCAAAACCAAAGCTAGAAGCTGGAATAAGCTAAATGAGAACTAAAGTAATGACGTAGCAAAACCAGAGAAGATAAATGTAGCAATTAGCAAAAAAACAAATTTACTTTAACTGTTACTCAAAGTTAAATGTAGAAAAAACTTGTTAAAAGCTAAATTTAACAAACTAAATGCTAAACAGTCAAAACAGTTATTAAAAGCTTAACATATCAAGATTGTAGCTAAAAGTTAGAATTACCAAACTAGAGGTAAAAACTAAGTAACAAAACCTTAGCTAAAGATAAAAATAAACAAAATTATTGCCAAGTTGAATACTGTATAACAAAACTGCGACTAAAAATAATATTAGCAAAACCACAGCCAAGAGCTAAACATAACCAAATCATAGCCAAAAGATACAATTTAAAGAAAGTTGCTAAAAGATAAAAGTAAACTATGAAGACAAAAGAGCTGAAGTAAGTTTCAGAGAACTCATTTTTGAAGGAGATGAAAAGAGCTTCATGTTTTTCAACGGGGACTTTTATTCACAACTGAAACATTTTGACATATCAATGGTTGGAAAACCACAAGATGCAGCAGAGGCAAAACAAACAGAAGAAATTTTAAAGAGGAAACCAACGGCATGAATTCTGAATGAGCACTCCCACCATTAAAGTCCAGTTTCACAGTGCTCCTTGAGATCGGATCATGACCAGACCCGGCAGTCCAGGGATTAAAGGCGGTCTCTTGAAATAGAAGGCAAACAGAACAGAGCATCCCCAGATGACCTCTCTTCTCAGCCTTTAACACATTTCTGCAACATGTCATGGAAGAACACCTCGACTAAGTTGTCTTATCAACCTGGTGCAATAACCACCGATCATTTTACAGGAAGCTGTGGGTGCTGATGACACATCTGTTGTCAACACTTCTCACAAACCAATATATTGTTGGGTGCTACCTGTTGTTCTGTCTGTACAGCACTTTGGTTGGCCTTGTAGCTGTTTTAAGTGCTCTATAAATAAAATGGTATGGTAATACCAGCTACAGCAACATTTCACCAATTCTCTAAATTTAGTTCAGGTGTTTGTTACACCTGCCAACTGAGATTTGGAATGAAATGAAAGGCCAAGCATTTCTTAAAGGAATGCATATCACCCGCTGGTTTGAACTAAGATCATCGTGTGTTGAAAAAAAATAAAAACACAGAGTTTTAGCCGTTAGGGTCAAACCAAATGTTTCAGTCTTATATAATGTTGTGAGATGTAGCAGGGCGCCTAAAGTAGATGCTGGGATGACTATCAGCTACTACCACACCATATTTTAGGTCAATATCTGCAAAATGGATGAGTTGTATGCATTTTTGCGTTTGCCAAGGTCACTGAGATGTGGCGGCTATATTGAATTAGTCTTCAAAGGTTAACCAGATGTGCACCCAATGATTACTTTCAAAGCTTCATGAAAAGCCATCGACTGGTTTATGGGATATTTAGCTAACATGACAAACAACACGCGCACAAACGGGAAAAAAATCGTTATCGCTTTGGCAGCGGTCGATACGAGAAAACCTGATTAGTTTGACATTTTATTTTTCTTCGTATCTAGAAGAAACTCATTATTAAAAATCTCATTTGCAAGTGTCCTCACATCAGAACTAAAACTATCAAAAATGCAGTTTTGTGCCTAAAAAGCAACACAAGATAGCAACTGGACCGATTTACTTTAATAAATAAATTTGAATCAGCTGACCTCTAAACTCTGGATCCATATCTGCACGGAAACTCGAGTAAAATGTTGACCTCGAGTTTTCAGAATTTGTCTTGAAGTCCCATATTTTGTTTTGAAATCATGTTTTGTTCTGAAAATAGTGAGCACAAACAGTACGGACCACAAGGGTTCAACTGGAGTAGGATCAGAAGAATGTGGAGGTCAAATAAACACCATCAGTGGCTTAGTGGGACCTTAGTGGGTCTGAGGAACACAAAACACGTGTCACGCTTCAAAGTGGTGTCAACCTGAGCAACAAAACAGACAACTGCACATGTAAACTGTGCAGCATCGCAGCCTTCCTTTCAGCTCACCTAATTCCCGATGCTTGTCGTAGAGCCGAATCGCTAACAAGTAAGACAAAATGTAAACAGCCACTGGGAACGATGGCAACTCTGAATCTGACCAGTAACCAAAGCTGAACAAAGACACCTTGTCTTTTCTTATGTGCAGAGACCAGTACAAAACCCAAGGTAGAAAACCCAAGCATGTTTCCAGCACATGAACAATACAGAATCTAGGCAAGAAAAGCTCGAGTTCAATGTTCTTTAGTCCCCTTTCGCTCATCGACTTCACAAACCGTGTGTCTGGGGCCAAACGGGGAGAGGGGGAGTGGAGATGGAGAATCCTTTGCCAAGCTCTGTAAGCCCGTGGGAAAATGAGGTCAGCCTCTACGGGTTACCTTTTAAAACGCAACAAGTTGTTTAAACTACCGTAAATATCCTGTTTGTAGCAAAAACAGGAAGTGACTTGGGGTAAGAACAAGACCTCCACGTGCAATTATTCCAAGGGTTATTACCGGTACTTAAAATTCCCTAAAATTACACGCAGTACTCGTAACCTATTCTTTGTAAACAGTAACCACTACCCAGATAAAGTATTATGCTTTAATATACTGCAATGCAAACATATAGTTCATAATATTGGTTTATATTAAACTGAGATGTGCAAAAACACATTTAAACAGGCCCAACTTAAATGAAATTACTATGATACAGCACATTCTAGGTGACAGACTTTCTCCAAGGAAACTGTACTGCTATTATCCTACTGTTGTGGTTTGGGAGACCATCATTATAAAGGACGTGTGTGTGTGTCCATGCAGGCCACTTAACCTGATCAAACCTAGTGAGAGAATAGATCCGGCCACCCGAAAAGACAACTAATGCGACAAATAAGCTTTCCTATTATCTGTACAAAAACAAAACCCTGCCATTTGTGTTATTTTTCTGACTTGTTTCTTCATCCCCATCCCATGTGTCTCTGCTTTTCTTCACAAAACCTGCTGGAAATGACATTTATTGCTCTAGTTTCTGTGCTGTGGTGCGAGCAGCGCTTTGCTCAGCTGTCCTCGGGGCAGCTCAGCAGAAATGGGGAGATTTCACGCTCCAGAGGCAGCAGAGCTCATGGATACAGCCACACTTGGTTGGCTCTTTATACCGAGAGAGGACAGTTTGTTTCCATTTCAGTAAGATTGTCTTATTTTGCATAAACCTTTAATTAATTATCATAATGACAAACAGATGGTCAAATACTAGCGTTTTTGAATAAAAGCAGCATTTCAGTCAGCCCAGTTCAAGATGGCTGCCACAACCAGATGACGTGAAAAATGGCTACAACTCTGTTGAACAAATATTGGCCCCAGGTTTGGTCTGTTAGTAGCTGAAAGTCATCCTCAACACCCAGTCTGAGGGCTTATGAACCGCGTATGATTTTACTAAACAACCACAATATTGCCCATCTTTTACATCAAGTTGTAGTCAACAATAATTTACTTCAGCCAGAGACATCAGTGGAGCCACGGTAAAGTTCACCAAATATGAATGTGTGACTACGGTTACCACAGGTTGGTTAAATAATACACAAACAATGATGGACACACACAGCATGATGGTTTTCCAGAGATACTGGTTGAACACCTTAACTTTGAATTTTTTATAAACAATAACTTCTATAGAATTTATTATCAACAAAAAAGGAACAAATTTGTTGTACTCCCCTCGGCTGGTGGGCCCCCCTGCCGCCGGTGCATTGGCGGATCTCAGCAGCTGGGGCTGGGTGGTGGAGTGTGTGCGGGCATGCCCTGGTGGCTGCCTGCCGGGCCTGGGTGCCCTGGCTCTACCGGGCCTCTGTTGGGGGGTGGTATGATCTCGGGACTCGGGGCTGTCGCTGCAGCCTCCTGGGGGTTCTGCATTGTGGTGACTGGGGCTCGCCCGGGGCTTCCCTTTGCTTCTCTCTCTGGGGGGTGCGGGTGTCCCTGTTGGGGGACTCCTGGAGTTCCGGGCTTGGGGGCCGCTGTGTGTCTGTGGTTCCGGTCTTCCCTGCGTTACCATCGTGTCCTGTGGGGACGAGTTAATGGGTCCCCACATCCACTATTAAACATTTTTATGGAGAAACCTTATAGTGACAACATGCTCACACAGGTGTTTAGATCCAGGTGTTTATCAGATACACACTCAGTTGGGTTGTGGTGGCCATCAAATATATATTGTATTTCTTCAACAACTACTGCTAGGCTCACGACCGGCTGTCACTTACGACTGTGGAGTCTGGGTTTAGACTGCGGGCAGGGCTCCAACTCTGACGGATTAGACTGCAATAAGATCTGATGG